AACCTTTCGCGAACCTTTCGCCGCCCTTTCGCGAGCTTTCGCCCACAGTGTTTTTGCATCATGTGTCCCCGTGCTTATAAATTTTAAACATGGGTTTTTGGACGATCCCCAAATGGGTAGAGTGAGAGCAAGTCCAAGTCAGTCGGGTCCTGCGCGCTGTGCCCTGCGAAGCCTGCTCGACAAGAAACGAACATCCAGCATCACAATATATACTCCAATAATGGAGAATCAAATGGAAAAGGAAATGGAAAATGAAGTGGAAACTGCTATTTATATATAGAAGGGTTATATGTTTCATAGTCAAAACTCCTTAAAGGGGGCTACATTCTATCACTGCACCCAATGGAGCTACATGAGAGGCAATGTGCGTGTCTGCACCTAAAAAGCTGGTGGCAGGCCTCGGAACATTTTCGACAGGTCCGCCTGACTCTGTTCGTGCAGATCCTGCAGCTCACGAACTGACGAGATTCCACTACTGTTCTTCAATACGCCTAAACAGCCAGTAGCAGCGACTGAAAACCTCGTGGGCGATACCGTGCTCGCACAACTCACTGACAAAACGCTTCATGCTCTGCAGAAAATTATCTTCCAGCATTCCGCCTACCAGTGCATTTGAGGCCTCAAGCCCTAAACCCTATATAGCCGTATCTATTTTCTTTTCCATTCTCCCGATATAAGCCCAATATAACCCTAATATACTCCCAGTATAACCCCAGTATAACCCTAAACACTAAACCCTAAATCCCAATACAACCCTAAACACTAAACCCTAAGCCCTAAACCCCAATATAACCCTAAACCCTAAACCATAACCCACAAAACCGGCTGTGACGCCTTCGCCTCGCTAAGCTTGTCACTGCCGCAGATTAGCTTCTCCAAGTCTGGCGTATCCTGCACCTCAATATGGGGATTTCCCAAAATTAGGGGTACCATTTTTGGGGGCCCCTATAATAAGGACTATAATATTTTGGGGTCTATATTGGGGTCCCCTTATTTTGGGAAACTACCATATTGGGATAATGGAAAAGAACATGGAAACTGCTACATTGGGTTATATAGGGTTTAGGGATATTGGGATTATAATGGGATAATGGAAAATAAAGTGGAAACTACTATTGTTATAGGGGTTCTATTGGGATTATATTGGGGAGAGTTTCCGAAAATGAAGAGCGCATGAGAGCGCCATCAGGATGCCAGATATGGAGATTCAAGATAGTAGTTCCCATTTTCTTTTCCATTATCCCAATACGACCCCGATATAACCCTCATATAACCCTAATATACCCTAATACAACCCTGATACAACCCCAATATAACCCCAAAATCGATTCAAGAAGAGGCCCGACCCAATTTCAAACAACTCACAGCTCCTGCACATGCCCGGCCAAGGCGCATGCGGTGCCCCGTAGAAATGTCGAGTCCCTGCCGCCTTGGGCCCATCCATGTCAGCTGCCTGGTCTGAGTAGCCTGGCAATATTGGGGTTATATGGGGATAATGGAAAACAAAATGGAAACTACTATAATGGGTTATATGGTAGTTTCCCAAAACACGGAGACCCCAATACAGACCCCCAAATACTATAGTCCTTATTTTTGGGCCCCCCAAAATGGTACCCCTAATTTTGGGAAACTACCAAGTAAACAAAGCTCTGCACTACAGCATCCATTAACATCCACATCCTTCCAACACGCAGTGAAATAAGATGACTGGATGCATGTACATACATGCAAGCGTACAGGCAAAGGTTTTCCTATGCAAGTACATCCTGCTTGCTGTTGCAGAGGTCATCATCATCATCATCATCATGATCATCATCATCACCTTCTGCTTCATGGCCGTCATCATCACCATCATCACCATCATGATCGCCACCGCCACCGCCAGAATCACTGCTCATCACAATACCATCAACAGGCCTGCGCAGCCATCGAAGATTTTGTCCATGCCAGGATATTCCTGTGACTGAACAGAAGCAATCATCACTGCAGAGAAGATGTCCGAGTTCTTGAGTTTTCCAGCGAAGCTTTATCTTGCCACTTGCGCCTAGACAGACACCACGCCGAGCAAGAAAGTAAGTAACCTCCAACCCTAAACCCTAGATGGGTGGTTGTCCAAATTATGGTCTCTTTTTGAATCCCTATTGAAATACGGCACCTAATATTTAGGGTACCCAAAAAGGGACCATAATTTTGACAACCACCTAAATCCTAAACACCAGATAGGCCCGGCCTGCTCCTTCTGCTCCCAGGACTTAACTAGCTCCTCGCTCCCACAGACAAGCTTGGCCATGTCCTTATAGTGACTAGCTTTCAATTGAGAGTTTCCCAAAATCAGGGGTACCTTTGTAGGGGTCCCTAAAACTAGGATTATAATATTTTGGGGTCTATATTGGGGCCCCCCCTATGTTGGGAAATTACCGAATGCCAGCATGGCGCCGCAAGCTGTAGGACTTGCATCTTCAGCACTAGCACACGAGTGACTTCAAGTGCATTCAAGTCTCCGGAGTGTCCGCCTGAAACATCTGTGCCGTGAACATGTCATTCCAGGCAATGATAGCTACAAGCAAAATACACCCGAAACCCAAAACCCTAAACCCTAAACCCAAAACTCTGAACACCAAAACATGGATGCGTCTCAAGCTGATTCAGCTATGCGGCTGTGTGTGGGGCACCAATGAGGCATCTCTTCCCTGAGG